GAGTAAGACCAATTCTTTTCATGTCTGTGTTTGGACTTTATCACTGCAGTTATCATGATGGGTTTTTTTTCTTATCGGCTTCCTGCCAACTCAGAAACTGCCACCTTCGTCTCAGAGTGGCTAACCAAAATGAAGCGGGGGGCATCTGACTACATTTTCCATCACATCATTTATCATTAACCCCTATTTATAGCCTCTTACTAATGTGAGGGGAAAAAAGTAGGGTTATTGGGATTTTCATGAGGTCTGAATTCGCCTTTTCACTTCCTTACAATATAAACAAAATTAGCTTAATCCCTAACCTTGCGTCTTTGCTTAAGTGTATGACAAATGAAGTCTTAAGGTGTCTGTGTTTTTATTGCTTTGCAGGCTGTTTTGTCCTTCCAGTAAACTCAGTTATTTCAGCCAGTAAAACATCTGCTTTCGCTGATATGTTTACTACAACCCAATAAAAAGGCTGCCTTCAGAATATGGCAGAACTTAGCCTCAAAATCTAAACAAATACACTATCATAGCTAAAAAAACCAATATTAATAATGGACTTTTAATACGCTGGTTTGATAGACAGTATAAAAAGGACCAAGGGCAATGTTTACCAGGAAATACAGGACAACAAGAAGTTAAAATTAACACTCAAGTGTTATAAGGAAGTGTTTCTAAAGACGTTGGATGATTTACAAATGTAGTACAGAAAAAAAAGCAAATTACAGGATGCAACATGCAACAGAAAATGGTTCACTGAAGCTTTAAAAGACGGTTTTGGACTAAACTAATAACTGACCATTTGATTTAGACGCAGAAACACTCGTGCTTTCCTGAACCCATTTCTTCCACGTTCTACCGAACCTGTACAACAAAGATCGACAGCAAACACACCGCTTCAAACGTCAGTGGCGTGTTGCTGCACATTCAGCCGGGGTCACGTCGCATCTTTGCTTCCACACAATCAGGAGAGCAACAACCTTCCAGGCAGCTCCTAGCTGATTACTCAGGTCAGATCCTGGATGCATCAGCACAAAAAAACAGAACGAAAGAAAGAAACATCCCCAGAATAAAACAGAGGGTCAGTTTCTCTTTGTGTGATTGTGTGTGTGTGCGTCTCCATGATTCACGTTCCACACAGCCTGAAAACAAACACCCGAACACAATAAGCTTTTGTTGCCTGAAGCAGTGATGGATAGCTCATTTCCGTTACATTTCTTGTTCCTCTTCCACCAACGCTGAACAGCAGAGGGGCAAAATATGAAAAGTTGAACATTTTACTAATGAGGAATGAAGGAAGGCAAAACATGCTACACCCGAATGAACATAAACGGTACAAAACAACACTTAGCAAGTAATCTGCGAATGTCTTAGCGATAAATATTTGGTTGAAATTTTGAAAAATCTTAAATGTGGCGTTCCACTGTTGATGTACATATTGGCACTGCTGGTACTGATGCGTTAAAAGCTGTAAAGTAAATTCATCTTTTGCTGCTGTCGAATAATCGAACACTGAAAATGTTAGAGAAATGCGGTCATTATCTTGATAATTACTCATATTTCTTTTGAGAAATACAAGTTTGACCAAAATTTAAAATATTATAACTTTGTACTTCAAAGAAGTGTAATAAAAAACTAAATCATTGTGTTTCGCTTCCTGAGTTAACTTTTCTTTATAACCATAGCTTCTTGTTTCTTTGTTTCTTTTGACACACTCTTCAAAACGGAAAATAAAATAAAAAACACACCACGAAGGCAAAAAATGTTCATTGATCTGGGAAGATTTACTTGACGAACCTTTCCTGCTTCTGTGAGGCACAACAGTCGACGTGGCACAGAGGTAGATTTGGTTTGGTCACTCTTCAAAACGGCAAAGACAAGACACTACGTCGTTAAAGAAAGGCAGAGGCCTGTTGACCTCAGACTTCTCTGTTTCCCAGTGGTAAGAAAGTGTGACACAGAGACACACTTATTTTGGCCACTAGCCTCCAGGCTACGCAAGGAGCCATATTTACCTCACCACAAGCTGTGGTGAAGGGGATGGTAAGACATGAAGAAAAACCCAAATAGCTCTTTGTGAAAGAGCTGCAACAAGAAGCACGAGTGGAGGCTGACACACAGGATGGACAACTACGCACACACACGCATACGCACGCAGACACACACACTCCTACCTGAGAACCGAACCAATTAACCCAACGAGCATTTCATGTTAAAGCATTTGAGCACATCTCTACCTGGGATGCTAATAACTGTTGATGGAGGAGTTCCTGCTTGCCACCAAAAAAAACTTTAACTCTTTAGTTTTTGTTCCAGTTTTTGCAACCGCACCAAAACTTGCTTAACTTGCCAAATCGTCAACGAACAGAAACAAACAAGCCAGAGTCATGAGCACAAACCAACCGGCAGCTTCAACGGAGCGGCAGCCAAGACTGTTCACTGGAGCGCGTTAATATGTAACAACAATTTGTTACAGAGATCAATTATTAAATCAAAGCGACAATGAGTGTCGTAGATAATGGAGGTGCGTATGCAAACATACGACTCACAGCCACTCGCTGGCGTTGGACAGAAAACCATTAAACCTTTGTCAGTTTAAAAAACCTAGCATTTTTACAAATTAAATGTTTTCAAAAGGTTAAAAGGAAAGGCTGGTCAACACTTTTAACCCCACTAGTCCGAGTCGCTGCGAAAATGTCTGCCTTCATTTTCACAAAGCTAAACAGAATCCAATTACAGCGTTCACAAGAGAATCGTTTATTTGGTACCTCATTTTTGGGCATGTAGAAAAAAAAGGCCCTGTGTGGGATGGGACGGTTTCAACATGTTAGGTTAATAATTTATGTGGGTGTATCTGACAGTACTTACAATGAAAAAGGACAAAATAATAACACTTCCTGTGACAGGGAAGACATTGCACAGTGAGAGGGAGGAGAGAAATTAAAAAGAGCTCGCTCATGCTTACAATTAGTCGTCATTATTTGGCAGAACAAAACTACAGCTATGTATAATGTTCAATATTTAAACCTAAATGTAGTTTCGTTATTTATAGTTTCATTACTTTATCTGTTTGTTTTTTTAATTATACTTAAATCACAATTCTGCTTCTAGTGGATTTCTTCTGTTGTTTTGCATCTACTAATTGCAAACTGTAAATAATTTATTTAAAAACCATAAGAAACACGCAGACCACATGTTATCATATTATCAGCTAATCTACAGACTACTGTCTGGAATCAATAATGCTTGTTTCCTGGCAACCGCTTTGCTTAAAGGATGAATGAAAAGAAGTATTGACGGCCACAACCAGGAAATACCCTTAAGATCATGTTGACACTGAGAGACAGTGAGCACAAAGCCCTCCTCAGGAAACCATGATTAATCCTCAGCCAGCCCAAGGAATAAGCAAACCAAGCTTCTCTCGCAGAAAATTTTTAAATCACTTCTACCATTTTCTACATGAGAACATTTCAGCTTTTAAACTTGTTTATGTATTTAACATCTAAAACAACAATATCTTCCTTCTTGTGGTACAAAGAAGATATTTACAGTATGATAAGTGATGTTTACATCCATAACTTGAGAGCGCCTTTTATCATGCTGCTGCTCGTGACTCACGTTTCATGCACTGAACTGTTTTTGCATAAAACCCAGTCGAAACAACCCATTCTTCCTGTCTCTGTGATCCGTACCGTTTAGGTCCACATTTCATTTAAAGCTCTAAAATGTTTCATCTTAAATAATATTTAAAGAAAGATCGTGGCATATTTAAGAAATAACACCTTTAAAACTGCTAAAAAAAAATGCCTATAATTCCATTTTTACAGTTGTTAAAGTTATTTTAATGAGATGACGAATGGAGTAAAGAAGAGTAGCATGTAAAGTCAAAAAGTGAACTTTTCATGCTTTTTGCATATTCAAAATCAACATTATGTTCTAAATAAAACTGGATAATTTATTGGTCTATGTATAAAGAAGCTACAATGTATAAATGCCTGTCTAAAAATGATCCCAAAATGAATATTATTAAAATAGTAAATTAAGATCATATTTATTTTTTTCCCCTGCTGTGGGAAAACCCAGGTTGGAGACTGTTAAGCAAACACCTGAGTTTAAATTGGGTCATTATGAAAGATCCCAGGGGTGTAAGTTGACAATATGGACTCAAATAAAAAAGCCAAAGATCATCTGTGGAAAAGATGCCTAGATTTATAAAAATTTTCAGATGAATATGAGAAATTTTTTTACCAGAATACCAGAATTATTGAATACTGGTGGGTTCAGCCGAGCTATAACTGCAGAACATTATATTATTTCAGTGCAGTATCGATAACAGTTGTTAAATAAAAGCAATTAAATCACATGTTACAGTTTTATTTAAAATCTTTGTGCAATATGCTATTTTTACTCAAGTTTATAATCCTGTTAGAATCTCTACCGGTTGTTAGGATTAAGAAAAAACAGAAAACGTTACTGGTGTTAAACTGGCTGTCGGGGAATGAACTTCTGAATTGGCTTCATACAATCATGGGCTGGGTCTGGATTCTTTGGCGTTGGGCAAAAAAAAATGTAGAATTACTTAGCAATATAACTCCTTTTATTATATTTTGAATTTACTATATAATCAATCTATTAACATGTATCTGGTACTTTTCTCACCAGTGTAGAATAAAAAAAAGCTTCAACTATTTAACAACTAGATCCAAAGTGTTTGAGTTTTCAGATGTGTACAATTTGAAATTAACACAGTTGTACTGTCAGACACTTTAAAACAGTTATGAGTTGCCAACATGGACACACCAGAACCAAGCAGCACCAACAGCAGAGATGCTGAGAGAATAAAAGCAAGTAGCGATGGATGGGAAACTTTTGACCAGGATACTGGAATAAGTGGATGCTGCTTGGTTCAGACTAGTTGTAACTGTGTGTGTGTGTGTGTGAGAGAGAGAGAGAGAGACAGAGAGAGAGAGAGAGAGAGAGAGAGAGAGAGAGTTGTGACAGAGCAGCTGTCCACTTACGCCCTGGTCCTGGGGAAACCCATGGACAGCAGCACGTCCAAAGTAGAGCCATGTTTGATGGTGCTGGGTCGGTTCTGGCGCTGCCTTCGCGGTGTCACTTTGGCGTACAGGTCCTCCTTCGCTGCCATAACTCACTGCCCCATCGGTACGTCAGGTCCACAGCTCCGCTGGTGTGTTTTCATTTATAAGCAGATAAAAAAGAAGGGGGGAAAAAAAAAAGGAAGACGGAACCAATGAGCTATTTAACCCAGAGTGACTCGGTCTGGACGGAAGCACGTAAATATCACGAAACTCTGCGAGGAAACGAGCATGTTTTGACTGCGAGCTGGAACGAGCTGCCTCCTCCTCCTCCGGCTGCTGCTCCTGACGGCTCGCAACATGAAGTGAAAACCATCAGCAGGGGGCTCGGCCATGGGAAGTCACTCCTGCGCTGTCAGCCGCGTCCCCGACAGCGGTGAACACATCTGGCTGCTGCCTGCCCCTCGCATCCGGTCCGCTGAGCGAAAAATCAGACACGACAGCACAAGTTTCCCTCTCCAAATGTTGTCTTATTCATGAATGGACCCTGATGAGCGAGCGGAGGATCGGCCGCGACCCCTTCAGTTAAAGAGACAGCACAGCAGCAGCATGCAGGAGGGGACAGGAAGTCGATTTTAAAGAACCGAAGGCGTATAAAACTGTGACAGCGACACAGTCCGCCTACTCAGGGGCGCTGTTTGAACACATATACAGACTGTACGGCGAGCTGCTGTGATTATTTCAGTGACAGTCCCATGATGGAGGTGAATGGTGGAAAATGCTGCTCACACTTCCTGTCTGCGAGAAAAAGATCGACGTCGCTGCGCGCATGCGTAGTGCGGGGGTATGAAAACAATCCGCCATCCTTAGTTGTCATAGCAACACTGGTATTAATCCGTAAATTTATAATTTATTACTCAGTGGTAAATGTTTCACTGAAATTAGATAAACATTTTCCCAGCATATATTTAATTAAAAAAAATGTTCCACTAAAGGATTTATACTTTAGTTTGTCACATATAAGTTTTTTTTTTGTTTTTTATTTATCTATTTTGTGGACTTTATATATATATATATATATATATATGTATGTATATCTTTACCCTTCCCAAAAGCAGCATTTGGGTGACATCACAGAAGGCATAATCTTGCTGATCAGAGGTTTTTGGTACATCAATTTGTGGTGTTATAGTTTTCACCTTCACCAAATTAAAAATGTGGACCTCTTTAAGTAAGCTACCGTCATCATATTATGCCATATATCAGTGGTAGCCAAATCCTTCTACATTATTTATTTTTTTACTTAAATTTCAGACTCCACAAACTGTATTTGCCAGGTATATTAAGCATAACTTATGAGAAAGAAAGAGAATAAACTATAAACCAGATGACAGTTTATGAACTTTTATTTTATACATAGACAAATCAATAATTGCAAAATGTCTAAAAAAAAACAAACAAAACAAACAAACTGTTCCCCTATACATATATTGACTGTTATGTGTTGACAACCTTCAGACCACTTTAACTTTAAGACCTGAGTAGTGTTAAAGCAAAACATTTTGTAGTTTGTGTTTCCAGAGTTAGAAACAAGATGAAATATAAATGTTCAATTTAAGTGACGGCTTTAGGTTCAGCCGCGATCCAAATATACACAAAGGTCAAAAATTAAAAGTGAGACATTTAAACCACAGGGCAAACTACTGAACATTTCTAGCTCTAAACACAAAGCAGATTTTGTAATTACTATAAAAATCTCAAACTAATAAAATGTATTGTTGCAGAAAAGTTGAGATAAAAATACAAAAACCCTAACAGCACAGCTAGTGTTATACTTTAGCAGTATTTAACAGAGATTGCCAGTAAATGAGTTCAGCTGTATCATGCTTTGTGCGTTTAAATAGACTCCAAGCCTTTGTTTCTTCATCAGTACTTGGTGATAGTTTAAAAGGAAAATTATCAATGGAAAAAATAATTTAGTAGCTGGAAGATAAAAAGAACACAAACATTAGCTTTAATCAGTAGCAGAAACATGCTGGCAGACAAAAAAAGCAGATAGAAGATACATTTAATCTAAAACTATAAATGTACAAAACAATTCCTTGAAAATCTTACATGGGTGACAGTGAAATCATTATCTGAGGAGAATCAAAATGGTTTGTAAAAACAGCACTGAAAGCACAAATACAAAAAAAAAAAAATCACAAAGACAAATATTTAACAGAGGTTTCCGACTGCCGCCTGCTACACCACAAATGACGACTTCTGTTTGAAATCCCCCTGAGGAACACAGCAAAACTCAAGTCATTTTCACAAGATGAAAATAAGTATATTATTTTTAAAATAAAGATTAATTTTACTTACATCATCTTCCTCCCCACCACCACCACCATACAATGATGGAGGCCTGTAGGCCGCACTTGACTGCTTGTTGCTGGGGGTAAACAAGAAAATATAAAATAGAGGAATCAAATTGATAGTTGTGTTGGAATCTGAAGCTTAGGGAATAAAAATAAAAAAATATATATGAAATACATGAATTGTACAAAACTCTCAGAAAAAAACAAGCTAAAATCTAGCTGTATTTTCATATTCCATGCAGACATGGAATATGAAACATGGCTGTGTTGTCTCACACAAATCAACTGAACGGTTTTCTTTGAAATAGGGTCAATTCATTTTCAGTGCCTTGCAAAAATATTCAATGCCATCAACTTTTTCAAAGTTTGTAACATTGCAACAGGAAAAAATGTAATTTATTGGGATTTTTTGGTCATCGAGTTGAAGGAAAATTATGTTTTTAAGAAATGAAAGGAAAGAACATTGATTTCCAGGCTGTCTGTTCAGAGGTTTACATGACTAATATTCTCCAACAGACCTCTCAAGCCTTAAACTGCACACACATTTATGGTATGCTGGGTCTGAATACATATGCATACCACTTTTAATTTTATTTTTTTAATGAATGAAAAACATTTTCTTTACAGTTGACAATTTGCAGTACTTGGCTGCGGTATGTCCAATAAAATCCCAATGACACACTGAAGTTTGTAGTCAGATTGTGATAGAAAGTAAAAAGTTAAATCACTCTGGACACATTTAATTAAATTTATAATAGCCTAAAAACCAGACCAGTTTAGGTAACTGGTTTGCAGTAACTCAAACTAACAATGCACTTTGTCAAAATAGAAAACAAATTAAGAAAATTCTCTTACCTTTCAGTTTTCACTGCAATAGAGGGAGGAAGAGAATAAAAGTCAATTTAGTAAAACACTTGGTAAATTATGAAAATGTAAATGTATAACCTGTGTTTCACAGCCTACAACTGAGATATGATAAGGTAATTACAACTGTGACAAAATGTGCAAAATGAAAACTCAACTCCAACTTGCTAACTTAAAAAGACGTGTGTGTTTTTGTCAGCTGCTAACTTTGTTACTTTCCATTTCTGCTTAGGATTAGGCATCTTTAGATATCCTGTTACTACAAAATAAACACAATAAACCTCTGAAAACTTACAGGGAAGATATCCTTTCTTGTTGGCAAACCAAAGGCCGAATATCAAAAGGCCCAACAACAGAAAGCCAAAGATTACCCCGGCAACAATTCCTCCGGTGTTTATGTCACCTTGAAGAAAAACAATGAAAATCATAAGAAATACATTTTTAAAAAATTAGCTAACATTTCTACATTTCACTGAACTTTCTAACTCTGTCGAACCAGAGCTACAGAGAAAGGGGAGAACTTACGGACTTCCATCTTTACACTTTTGCAGCGCTGGGAAGGACCGGCCTCGTTGCTCACCTCACAGTAGTATTCCCCAGTGTCCATCTTGGTCACAGAAGGAAACACCTATATCCACACAAGTCATTTCATTACACAGCAAGTCCACAAAAATAATGTAAAAGATGGGCATATGTAATGCAGCGTAATGGAGCATAGCCGACCAGCATTCCTGTTTTTGTATCCAGTTTGTAGGTGGCGTTTTTGAAGGCAACATTGGTGCTCGGGTCAGCAGGAAGGAGGGTGGTGCCTTTGTACCAGCTGTATGTTGGTGGCGGTGAACCGTTAGGATCATGGCAGGTAAGGGTGGCGCGTGTATTTGTCGTCACTGTTTGGGGGATTCCACACTTTGGTACAGATGGCGGCACTGCAAAATACAAAAAAATAAAATAAAATACAAAGAGAGAGCTGGAGCATTTTTATATATTTTGTGCGCTTGAGTTAAAACTGATAATACTGGTAGTAATTTTCCAAATTAGTGATCATTTTTATTCACGGTAGCTTATTGTGAGCATGCCTTCTGTTCTCAGTACGTTTTCCTACAGCATCTAGAAGTTTGCAGAATTTTACTCTGATTCCTCTACATCTTATAAATTTGCACAATTCAATAAAATGACATGAAACTAAGTTAAAATGCTTTTTTTCCCCTTCCTGGATCAGCTGTAATTCTCAGAAACATGCAATTTCTGAATCTTTCATTCTGTCATAATTTCAAAGTTGTATTTGCCATGCAAACCAAATTAGATTGGAAGAATGCTGAAGCTGTAAGACGACGGGATTATTGGAGATAAAACAGACGATTTGTACAAATAAAAGTTTGCATAAGTCTTTGCAGTAGCACACTGCAGTTTCAAAGTTCAGAAAAATTTCATTTACTAGGTAATATTTGACACTTTATGGGACACACCATTAGTTATTCCTGTCTTAGAAAGTATACAAGCTCTCTTTGGGGTTTAGTAATAAATTTAAAAGATGACTCTCTTAAAGCACTGTTGTATTCTGTGTAAGACATATAATTAGGCCCTTCACAATAAACAAGAAATCAATTAATGACATGATAAATTCATAAGTTCAGTTTTATTTGCATGATTTGTCGTTTTTTCTCTTTCTACCAAAAATTGGATGATAAAAGTCTTCAATTTGGTGTTTTAGTCTTAACTAAAGGACAATTTTGTTTCATAATTTATTTCATTTGAATTTTTCTGTTTATTTCGAATATTTAAAATGTCTTCCAGTTCCAGTGTTAAATGTTCACTAAAATTTAAAGTTTGTTAATCTTTGAGAATGTGTTCTTGCATTATTATGCCTTTACCATTATATTGCTTGAAAATTGTCTCAAAGCAACAATATTATCGTTTATCGCAATAACTTCTGGGACAATTTATCGTCCAGCAGAATTTGTTATTGAGACTGCTCAAAAATCTTCTCACTATAACTAAACATCAACAAATACATTTGCATCAATGAATAAAGTGCTACAACCATCATTTTATTTAGGAACATAATAATAAATCCATTTCGATAAATAATAGCTAGTTAATTTCAACAGATTTCAAACTTCTGCACATTATAGTTACTCTACCTTGTGATTATTGTCTCCTAAACTAAGTGAGGAAAGGTCTGAATTTAAATTAGAAAAGGGGACACAATTTTTAGTGCCTACAATAATAAAGCAAATGTGTCATTTCAGGAACGCTTACCCAGAACAGTCAGAACCACCTTGGCCTTCTTAGTCGGGCTACTGGCGCTGGACACACCACAGTAATACACGCCGTTATCCTTACTGGTCACTTTGGAGAATCTCAAATTTGTGGTGCTGTATATCGATACGCGATCGGCATATGGTTCTGTGGAGAAGAAGCACAATTACAGCCTTAAGAAGCTAAATGCATTTATCAAAGCACTAGTCCAGGTTTCTAAGCTCTAATTTTAAGCTGGACATGATCGATAAAAACTACATTAGTGTAAATTTTATGTCTCAGTTATAAATTTAGGGACAATTTTTCATTAATTTCTAAGATATATTCTTGTAGTTTCC